CATCCTTACCTCCAAGGACCACTCTGGCTGCACCTTCCCTGAGACATATCGGTTTATTTTGACAGTCAATGGGATAAGGACTCTTCTCCCACACCACAGTTCAAAGGTATCAATTTTTCTTCTGTCATCCTTATTCATTGTCCAGCTCTCAATAGCATAGCAAGTGATTGAAGAGACCATGGTCTGAACCAAGTGAAAAGTTGTCCTCTAACATTTCTTCTCAGTAATTTGAAGAGATCCCTGACTGCAGACTTTCTCTGTCTTTTCCAGAAAAGACAAACCTAGTTCCAGCATGTTGTTGTTGTTGTGTTATGTGCTGTCGAGTTGCTTGCGACTCATAGCGACCCTATGTACAACAGCCCTAAACTCCGCTCTGTCCTGTGTCAATCACACTGTCTCTGACACTCCCGTCCATATTATCCCAGTCACTGAATCAATCCACCTCATAGAGGGCCTTCCCCTCCTGCACTGTCCCTCCACCCTCCCAAGCATGATGTCCCTCTCCAAGGACCGGTCTCTCCTCACAACATGTCCAAAGTATGTTAGAGCCTCAGAATCCTTGCCTCCAAGGAGCCACCCGGTTTAACCCTTTCCAGGACAAATCTGTTTGTTTTCCTAGCAGTCCATGGTATTCTCAATACTCTTCTCCAGCACCACAGCTCATAAGAATAACTCCCCAACACCTTTTTAATATTCTTTTTTCCTTTATTCTTTTGTCACGTGGGTTTATACTGTTTGACATTCAAATATATTTTCAAAATTTGCACCAAAAAAATCCCCACCCCACTGTTTAATGTGTTACTGTATAGTAACTTGAGAATATGATTTAAAATGCAAATATTAAGCATAGTTCTTAAAATAAGGCACACAGTTTGAATCTTCCAGCTCTGATAGAAAGATGGGTAATCCCCGCCCTTGCCATTTAAAGCCTCTGAAACCTCACTGGAGGGTTGGCTAGGAGTTGGTTCTAATTCATCAGCACACAACAATATTCAGGTAGAAAGTTTTGGGCAAAGGTCATGTGATTGGCCCCAGCTCCCCAGAGTCACAAAAAAGATTGTGAAACCAAGATCATGGACCGTCTCCTTCTCTGTGTTCTACACCCACGACATGCAGGATAAAATAACCATGACAAATGTTGATCTTCCTTAAGGGACCGTGGAAAGCTGCTCTCCACACTAGCATTTAGTGCACAGAAGGGTGTATGTACTAAATGTGGAGCAAGTTTGTCATTCGACTATTGCAGACAAAATTGTGATGGTGGATGAAATTCAATCTTTCTCAAATGTTGCCCTGATAAATATTTAAACGGGACTAGATTATTTAATGACTGTGCGGCTGCTGCTATTGTTGTTCTTGTGCCCCATCGAGTCAAAACTGCCTCAGGGCTGACTCTCCAGCTTATTTTCAGAGGGAGTAAAGTGAAGAGGAGGCAATGGTCTAACTTCCTCCTAGGAAGTAGCTTCGGGATTAGAACCGTGTTCCTCGAATTGACTGCTCAACTCCTCGCCCCTAACTCACCAGAATTCCCAATACTGAGGATAAGACAATAAAGATCTCATGACAGAAAACAGGGAATTCTTTCATACAAAGCATAAAAGAAAAAAATCTGGGTTTGGATTAAGTTTAAACCATGGCTTAATTACTGACTATTCATATATTGCTAGACAAATTGCCTAAAATCTAAACATCAGTTTTTGCCTGTATAAAATACAAAGAACATAAGCTTATTTATAGGGCTGTTATAAGCATTTAATTAGATAATGTTTTCATAGCAGTTATTGAATTGCAGGGCCAATCATAAAATGTTCAAAAGCAGTGATAACTCACAAATCAAGCCAGAAATTCTAATATAGGATGCTTTGTCCTTGACTAGGCGGATGTTGGCAAGTGTGAAGAGAAACCTGTGTCAAAGAATCTGGAGGGCAGGCAGAGAACAAAGGCCTAGAGGAAGGTGATGATGACAGAGAGATTGAGGAGAAGGATTACTACAGCTCCTTCCAGAGCCCAGAACTAAGTCTTCACTGAACTAAGTCTTTTATTTCTTAGGGCCAAATAAAAATATAAGTATAACCTGAAAGTCTGCTTAGGAAAAAAAAACCAGGCTTCAACCTGCTCCCAATTTCTTTAAAAAAAAAAAAAAAGTCAGAACCTGTGAAATTATTTACTGGATACTCCCCGGCTAAAATAAACTTGGAAGCAGGAGTGGCATCCACTTCCGTGATAGCTTGCCCCCAGAAACCCTATGAACCTGGAGAAAGGATGTAAGTCACAGAAGGGTCGGGGACTTTTGTTCATAGGGTCGCTATGAGTGGCCTACGACTCAATGGCACTTAACACCATCACACCATATGAACCATATGTGCCTCTTGCTGGAGCCAATGAGATTGGTGCAGAAGCTGGGGCTTTTTTAAAAGTCAGTTGATTTGTGGAAGAGCCAGATCGTTTGCGCCATGGAGGATGACTCTGGCCTCTTAGTGATGAGAGCGGGTTGGGAGCCTCTAGCTGAAGCCAATGAGAGACTGGTGAAGAAGCTGGGGCCTTTTTTTTTTAAAAAAAAATATTTTATTAATGGGTGTGGGGGTATGTGTGCATGTGTGTGTGCCGTCAAATCAGAAATGACTGGTACAGGAGGAGATTGTTCCTCCTTCACCAACAGAGCATCTGGTAGATTTGAACTGTCCATCTCTAAGATTGCAATACACCTTCTTGCCATTAGACCACCAGAGCTCGCCACGCTGGGGGCTTTTTAAAAAAACTAGTTTGGGCCCTCGGGCCTGATTAAATTGTATTTGAAATTACTATTTCCTGTGTGGTACAGCACTTTTCTGTCATTTCTCTGTACTTAGGATAACCTAGGTAAGTTAGGATACCTGTGATAATAAATGGTGTGACAGTGGTGTTTCAATTGCTGTAATGGTTACTCAGGTTTGACAATGTCTGGAAGAGCTCACAAATTAAGACAGGCCTGGAAGCAGGAGCAGCATCCACTTCCTAAACATGCCTGTGGAAACTCTATGAATTTAGAGAGAGAACAATTTTCATAGAAAAGGGTTAGGGTCTTTTGTGTATAGGGTTACCACTCGATACTTAACAATCACAGCAACATATAAAGCCAGGCTCTTATCTCCATTTTTGGTGAGGATTAGGGCAGAATGATTACTTGCCATTGAGTGTGAGTTGATTATATTTGGCCTCCTATTGACAAAGACATTTGGTTTATGGCAATTAACAACAACATAGAGAGAGCTCAGTTGGCTTAGTGGACAGAAAGTGATGTTACCAAGCCAAAAGCGGGTGATTGTAATCTGTGGCCCTCAGGCCTGGTGTTAACTGTGTTTGGTCAAGCATTCTTCTAAGTGATATAGCACTGGTCGGTCCCTTTGAGTACAAAGGTAACGTGTGGTTAATGTGATGCTAAACATTGTGACACTGTTGTGTCAAATGTGATAATGGTTACCCATGGTAGACAGTGTTTGGTGGAGCTCCTGAATAAAACAAGCTTGGAAACAGGAGTAGCATCCAATTCTGTAATAGCTTACCTCCGGAAACTCTGTGAACTTGGAGAAATGACAAATTTATACAAGTGTTAAGGTCTTTTGTTCATAGGGTCACTATGAGTCGTCTATGACTCGATGGCAATTAACATCAACATATAAACCAGTGTGAAAAGGGAGCGCTGGTGGCATAGTGGTAAGGAATTGCACTGCCAACTCAAAAGTACATAGTTTGATTCTTCCAGCTCCTCCATGAAGGAAAGATGGGAAATCTCCTCTCATGCCTTCTCTCTGAAAACTGCTGGAGGGTCAGCTATGAGGCAGCTCTTGCATTTAACAACATATGAGCCAATGAAAACCATACCTTCTTCCTAAACCACTTCTCTACTTCTGGTGAGCACACTCTAGAAAGTATCTGTCCTACCCAGTCAGAATTAGAGAGGACTGAGGTGGATAAGAACAGACTGGGATTTGGGATGAGTCACATTCTTGGAAGGCAGAGAGTGATGCATAAAAGAAAAGGTAAGAAAAAGGTCTTGGAAGCAGAGGGAACACTGTAACCTGGAAGAAGAGCATGGCTTATAGACGCCATTGCAGGGAAGTAGTAGGTATGGGAAGTCGCTCTGAGGTCTTAGTGGTAAGTAGTTGGGCTGCCAATCCAAAGTCATGTGGTTTGAATCCACCAGCTACTTGTTGGGAGAAGGAAGGGCAATCTCCTCCCCTGTGATTTACCACCTCTAAAAACCCACTGGAGGGTCCACTAAGAGTTAATTCCAACTTGATAGTACATGACAATGAAAACAATAAGTATGGGGTTGGTCCAGAGATAGGAAAGGACTGTGTGTGTCCATAAATAAGAAAAATGGCTTAGGGCAAATGGCATTTGGAGAACCAGGCAAGGAGTCTAGCAATGATTATACTGATGCAAGAAGAATGATAGCCAGAGAGCAGCATTATTGGGGGATCCATGAGGAAGTTCTTCATAGGCTTAGAAAAGATATGGTCAAGGACCCAGCAGAGACCCAGCATCAGATGACTTAGACTGCTAGAGAGAAGAGCTGGTGTTCTGACACTGGGGCCAAGCTGACTTTTATTACCAGGATTAAGTACAAGGTTAAAACTCCAGATTCTAATGACAGAGCAGGTGTCTAAGTGCAGAATCTTTATTTTTACACTAAAGAACATTTTAAAGTCCTCTCCAAGGACAGGATTATCCTCCTCCTGGGGACTTGAATGGAACAGTCGTGGTTGGGATGGATGTAAGAGTCAGTTCGTTCCATTTTGAGTTGTCAGTACAACGCATTACTACTAAGCAGCAATGCGGGAACCATCTCAGTAACACCCCACTGTGGCTCCTTCTGCTCTCCTTCAGTCTCTGTATGCTCAAATAAACTTTGTAAATAAACTACCTGCCTTATGTCCTTGTCTCAAACAAAAGCAGAACCCAAAGATTTGGGGAACCTAGTGGCTGTGTTTTCATTGCATCTCTCTGTTTCCCCATAGGTCACCAAGATGCTGGCCGTGGTTGTAATTCTGTTTGCCCTTTTGTGGATGCCCTACAGGACTCTTGTGGTTGTCAACTCCTTTCTCTCAAGTCCTTTTCAAGAAAATTGGTTCCTGCTCTTTTGCAGAATTTGCATTTACCTCAACAGTGCCATCAACCCTGTGATTTACAATCTCATGTCCCAGAAGTTTCGCGCTGCCTTCAGAAAGCTTTGCAACTGCAAACAGAAGCCAACAGAAAAACCAGCAAATTACAGCGTGGCACTGAATTACAGCGTGATCAAGGAGTCTGACCATTTCAGCACAGAGCTGGAGGACATCACTGTCACTGACAATTACTTGTCTGCCACCAAAGTGTCTTTCGACGATACCTGCTTGGCTTCTGAAGTAACCTACAGTCAAAGTTGATTCATGAAGTGAAAGAAAATGGACTTCAAACTAAATGAGAATTTGTGCGGTTATCAACAAAGGCGAGGAAGTAGCCAAAAGTTATAAGTTGGCAGATAAAGCCTTTGCCAATGTTCCAGTTAGTCCTGGCTCTAAATGCTATAACACATCTGAATGATTCAGATTTTCCTTTTTATAGAATTCATGTCACAAAAAGTGGATCAGGTCGAGGAAATAGCCCAACTGTGAAGAACAGAAGGGAAGTCCTTTTTGTTCAAATTAGGAGTACGTATTTTCCAGGGCTATGTAGTTTATATAAAATCAAAACTTTATTTTACATAACTCATAATAAGCATATCAAATATGATTTTAAAAAAAAATTCTCCCCTCCAAAACAATCTGTATATTTGCTAATTAGACAGTATACAGATTTCCAAATGCTTGCTTTATAATAATTCATTGTTTCAAAGTATAATATTAGTCCACAAATACCTGAGACTATGGGGAGAAACAGAAAACACATTTTATTTGTTAAATGAAACTGAGCATCCAGGCAAAGATGTTTACTGTGCTTAGAAACAGGGAAGTCAAACGTCTTAATATTTATTTATAAAATAAGAGATGATTTTTGTGTCTTGCAAAGTAGCTAGCCATCATTCTACTTTAATGTAGCACAAACCTCAAAACTCTCCAAAACTCTATTTGATTTTGAGATAAATTCTGCTTTTATCAACTCTGTGAGCCTCCTAAATGGAGCAGTATGATTAAATAACTGTGCAAATATGAACTCTCGTACAATTAATTTTGGAAAACTATAGCCAAGACATGATTAAATATTTAAACTTGGATTTTATTTTCTCTCTGAGACTTTCAAGGAAGAAAATCCTTCCTGAATATTCTTGTTTCCGGAATGATTCTGAGCCTTGTCAAGCAAATCCATCCAGTTGAACCTAGCTTAAAAGCCTTAAACCTTAACTAAAGCTTAGTTGTAATGTAAGTCATTCAAAACGTGGCTGAGGCAATTCCGGACGCAGATCTCCCTCTGCACATTGTTGTCTGTGGATTTTAACTTGTCTGCAATTGTCTTTCCTTTCTGCCTTGAATAATAGTTGAAGGCTCTTCTCCTCCCTCATTTAGCGATATCTTCTTTTCAGATTTGAAATCAAAGCACGGCAAATTTTTGGCTGGCTTTATTTTCAATAGAGTTAAAATGCGATTTCGTCTTTTCATCAGTACTATTCTTTGTGAGAATGACTTGGACCTGCTGTTTCAATGATTAGTAGAGATGTGCAAGTATGAAGCCACCCAGAGCACTGTGTCAGCTCTCTCCTTAATGACTTCTCAGCTGAGATTGGCTAGTGAGCCTCTCAAAGTATAGAAATCATGTAAGACGTTATCTGGTTTTATTCCACTAGAGCCTAGTTACTAATACAGAGCCCTCGTGGTGTTGTCATTAAAGAATTAATTTGCTAACTAAAAGATTGATGGTTCAAATTACCATCTAGGAGAAAGCTGGGGAAGTCAGCTTCCTTAAAGATTTACAGTCCTGGAGACCTTATGTTCCTACACGGCAACTATTTGTTGGATTTGACTACGCGACAGTGGGTTTGGCAATTGCCCACCTTCGTCACTCTTTTTCACCTTCTTAATGAGGAATACCATTCTATTGTAGCACCTTCTGTTTTAAGATGCTGCCTCCTGGATACTTTACCCTCAGAACTTCACTGCAGAATATGCTCTTGTGAACATTAGCCTCATCAACTCCAGGAAGACATTTCTCTCCCGTCGCTGCATCATCAAACAAATGTAAAGAAATATGTGCAGGGAATACCCTCAAAGACTATCTGCATGGCACTAAACAATCTCTTTTCATTAACTTTAGTTACTGGATTTAACATTAATCCTGGAATCATTAGTGAGCATCAGAGCGAGTTGACCCTCAAATCACACAAGCACATAGGCAGGCACAGATTATCGAACTGGTTGCTGTTGAGTTTTCTCTGACTCACGGGGGCAGGGGGCAGGACCATGTTTTCATTGTACAGCTATTATCCACAGCATTTTCAGTGGCTGACTTTTCAAAAGTGGACTCCTAATCTTTTCTGCCAAGGTACTTCTAGGTGGATGTCAATCTCTAGTCTTTCTGACAATAGCTAATCATTTGTACTACCCAAGAACCCTGTACACAACACTTCTCTGGTCAATTAATTTACAAAAGAGATCTATGAATTTTTTTCTTAATTAAGAAAATTAACCAATGTACTTGAGCAGTTCTTGTTCCAGCATGTTGTTAGCGAATCAACATTATCTTCATTGTGATTTCATCACAGCTGTGATTTCTCTGTTGATAAGATCAGAGATCCAGAATCAATGCTACTTCCCTAAGCACTGTAGGCTACTAGGGAAAAGAAAAGGGAAACAATCCATTTGCTCTCGTTTTATTTTTCATTTAGGTCAACATACTACTTCATATCCCTTACAGCTTATGACCTAATTAATAGAACATTAATTTAATATACATTAAATTTTATATCTTGTTACTTGCCATTGAATCAGAACCAACTCCTAAGTAACCCTCCAAAGGATTTTTAGACGATGTATGGAAGTCTCATGGGAGGAAATTGGTTTTCTTCTAAGGAGCAATTGGTAGACTCCACCCCTTGGCTTTGGCTTGATAATGCAACTTCTTACTATTGGCCACCAGAGCTCACACTTGTAATATTATCAAACTCTTTAAAAAAAAGTCACAGTTGCTTTTACATAATATACACAGAACATAATGCACTCTTCCTATCTTTAGAAGCTCCGGTGGCCTAGTTGTAAGAAACTGCACTACCAACTGCCAGGCACATGGTTCAAATCCACTTGCTGCTTTGCTTGAGAAATAGAATTCCTCCCATGTGATTTACCACCTCTGAAGACTCACCATGAGTCTGTTTTGACTTGATAGCACATAACAAACACAAGCTTTGGAAATGTAATATTTGGACGTGACTTTTTTATTTTCATTTTAAAAACATTATTTAACAATAAGCTGCTAGTTTTGAACCACATGGGAAATTTGAAAGAACACAATTCATGCTGCTTCAACTCTAAAGCAAATGTCATTATAAAATTAAATGTTCCATTGAAAGTCCAATAGACAATAGAGTTTGCACAGAAGTAATATCAGTTTTTTAAAGTACTCTTTATAATAAGTAATCTCATAAATAATCAGAACCTAATATACTAGCAAATGAAAAGTAGTTAGACTTAGAAATTGCTGATTGAGTGCAATAATGTTATTAAGGGCCTCTCTTCATAAAATTCCTGGGGTTGTTTTATTACTTGCAGTTTCATTAATTGCTGAGTTGCTTTGGTTAGTTTATGCACCTGAAGTAATTAGGTAAAAGGGCACAGATCCTGAATAAAACAAGCAAATATAAATTCCCCTTAAGACTTCACTACTATCCCTAGTGTGTCTCTAGAGCTCAACTTTTAAAACAAATATCTTACATGTTGAAGAGAAAAGGGAAAGGTTAAAATAAAAACTTAATAGTCATTTTAAACCGTGTAAGTGCACAGAACTACACACCTTGACAATACACCTAATCAAATAGCCCATTTCAGTTACAACTAATAAAGCCAAAGATAACATTTGTAGCCATGAAATTCAGTTTAGTGAACTAAGTTTTAAATGCTCTTTGAAAATGTTTATTATTAAAAAAATATAACAAGGGCACTGTGTTTTAGTAAAAGAGAGCTTGCAAAATTACCATTATGTTCTTAAAGTCTAAAAGAAATTCTACTCTCCTGAACCAAGCTCAATATGCAAAGATGACAGATATTATTAATTTTTTGGAGAAAAATATATTAAAATATTAAAATAAATTTTAGTCATTTATCCAAGATTCTGTGAGCTCTACAAGTCTACTCAATATTAGCTTTGTTTCTCAACTGCAACTCACAAAATGATTCAATTCTTTGTACTTGGACTTAGGCAACTAGGAATGAGTGAGAATAACTATTGAGTCCCAGGTTAAAAGAAAAACATTTTCAAATATTTGAAATCACCAATTGTCCTAGGAAAAAGCCAACACAAAAATATCTAGCAATTTATTTTCTATTTACCTTTAGATGTCTACAGCAAATAACCACAAAAGCCAAGGCTTGACTGAGTGAATATAACTTTTCAGAGAAATGCACATGAAGAAATCTAACAGAATTCTGTAGTGATAAATATTTTTATCTCTGTTTCCCCTCCTTTTCCCACAAAATCTTATCTCTCCCTAAGCATTGCTTTCCTTGGAGGCAGAAGAGTCACCTGATCTCATTCAGGGCTAAAATAGACATAAAATACTTTAAATAAAAAGTCTAAATGTTCTTCCTAATGTATTTCCTAAAATAAATATGTTTTTATTCTGGAAATCTGTAAGCTTTTATAAAATATTTTCAGGCTATAGAAAAATGATTCCATTAAGATTTCTGTTTAACTGTGTCCCTGTCTTCATTATTAGTTGTTTCATATCATCAAGTTGGAACTGACTCATAGCTGAGCCTCCAGAAAGTTTTCAGAGGCTGTAAATCACACAGGAAGAAACCGCTGATCCTTCTCCTGGAGAACTGCTGGTGGATTCAACCCATGTGCCTTTGTGGTGACAGCTCAGCTCTTTCCCGTGAGGATACCAGCGATCCCTTTTTGGACGTGATATTTTTCTCAAACAGCAAAGCATCAGCTTGATATTTCAAAGATTACAGGCAGAAATCACTAGAAAGAACACCTAATATGCATAAGACTGCTTCTAATAATGTTAAAGAAACAAGACTTCTTATTCCTAAGGAGTTCTCAATCCAGCGAGAAAAACAAGGTAATATTACAGCACCTCAGAATGCACCTGTTCAATAACACAAAGAATATGAATTGGAGATGCCAAAATATGTTTTGTTTGTTTCTCTGGAAATATTTTCCTGTAAAGCCAATTTATATATATTTTTCTCAATGTTTATTTCTAACAGCTTTGGTGGGACAGCAATTAAAGCATTCAAAGTTGACAGTTCCACAGTTGTTCCAAAGGAGAAATCTGTGATGGTCTGCTTCCACAAAGATGTACAGCCTTGGAAATGCTAGAGGGGCAATTCTAGTCTGTCCTAAAGTCTGTC